TACAAAAGGGTAACGACGTGTCGGTGTATTCAAGCGATGGCCAGATGTTAGGCTACGGCGGGTTTTCCAACGCCAGCCCTCTGTCCAACTTTTACAAGACTAGCTTCGCATACAGTGGACACCACTTTGAGTACTCCGAGTGCGCTATTATGCACAAAAAGGCCATCACTTTTGGCGACCAAATGAGCGCCGATAAAGTGCTCAAATGCCGGTCGCCGTGGATGGCAAAGAGGTTGGGCCGAGACGTGAAGCCATTTGATCCCAAGAAGTGGTTCGAAGCCAGGGATGAAAGATGTAACATTTACATAATTTTTTGATACCATTTTTTAAAACTTTTCAGAACTTTTGTTTTTACATACTTTGTGTGTATTGTTTAGTATAACTAAACATGTATTTTGATTTAACTAAATGATTAAAACAACGATTTCATATAAAATATACTTTATTTATATGCAAAACATGAAGAAAATTATAAATAAATAAATCTATTAAATTAAAGCAATTGTTTACAGCAATTGATGAAAAACAAGAGTGTTTAGGGGTTTAGCCAATCGTGTGATGGCTTTCATATGCAAACATTTATGGTTTACGCGTTTCTATTGGTTGTGAGACTTGTTTTTGTTTCATTATTTCAAAAGTTTTGAATCAAAACAATAATCACCGCATTGTTTGCCCATTTGTTTATCACTTTAACTGATCCTAACATTCAATTATTATTATTATTAGTGTCCATACGATTGGCTTAATATTTGAAGGAAAGGACAGACACTTAACACTAACGATAAGACAATGGATGTGATCGGCGGTGACACTGAAGATGGTATGTATTGCGTGCCATACCGTCCACTATATATAGAGTACACTATAAGTGGTGTTCACTAAATAAATACACAATAAATATATAATTATTGCATTGATATTTGCAGAGAGGGGTCGGTCTGAGGCGACCATCAGGTTTGTGGTCAACGATATCAACCAATTGGCTGGTTATCAATACAGCGCTTCCAAATATATACGACACTTACCCTGGTATACACTCAAAAAAAATGTTAGCACTTTGAAGTGTAAAAGTCAGTACATTTCACACTTTAAAGTGTGAAATGTACGTTATTCTCACAATTCATCCCAATTTGTCATAAAGTGCTACGAAATATATGGCATTTTCACCACTTTAAAGTACAAAAATACTTTTGAACTTTAAAGTGATAATTAATTGTCATTTTAAAATTACAAAATTATAACAAACATCACAAACATATTTAAATCATTAAAATATGTAATCGTTTTTAGTTTAATAGCAATTGCAATGCAATGCATGCATAATATTTATTATTACTAAATAAATACATTTATTTACTAAACATTATAAGTTAAACAAACAAATACAATATTCATTTAATCTTATTCACTCAAAAAAATGTTAGCACTTTGAAGTGTAAAAGTCAGTACATTTCACACTTTAAAGTGATAGTAGTTTGTTTGTTTAACTTTTTTATTTAAAGTACGTAATTCTCACAATTCATCCCAATTTGTCATTAAGTGCTACGAAATATATGGCATTTTCACCACTTTATAGTACAAAAATACTTTTGAACTTTAAAGTGATAATTAATTGTCATTTTAAAATTACAAAATATTTGTATTTTAAAGTGTAAAATATCAATGAATAGGATTGTAAGCACATGTAAAATATCATTGTCACATTAGCTCAGTTAGTAGTGTCGCTGACTCAATAGTAATAGGCCTTGAGTTCGAGTCACCCTGTGTACATTATTTGTAATATACTTTTATTTTTTTTCAATAATTTTCACTCTTTCTCAATTTAGAGTGTAAAATGTTGTGCACTCTATAGTGATGTAAAGTTCCCTCTTTAGAGTGTAAAAAAAGTCCGTTCTTTTGTCACTCTATAATGACTTTTTATTTGAGTGTTTCCTATGCCATCAAATATCTAGTAATTTAATTATTTTTTCAATTAAATGATAAAATTTCATACGTTTAGTGAAATATTAAGTTTATAAGTGTGTAAACCGAGCATTTGGTCACTCAAATGAATACAATATAGAAAATGTATAAATAATTAAATTTGAAACGATATGTGAATTAAATTAAAACTATTGAAAAACAAGTTTTATTAACTTTTAAACGCTATTATAGAGAGAGTTGTGAGGATTGCATAGCATTTGATGCAATGCTTTGCGTCATAACTGAGTCATTGGTTTTGCAATACGTTTCGACCATTGAATCACTTTTGCAAACAAAACATACAAACAGTTTGTCATTAAAATCATTATCACTGGAAGTGTCCATCAGATGAGCACATGATGTCCGCCACCAACACAGACATCGAGGAGATCGTCACCGTTAAGAGTGTCCACGTCTTCCACCTGTCATTCAACGCCAATGAACGCGAATATGAGTTGAATTCAGTGATCAAAGACCAAAACCTGAGGATATTTCGGGAACTCATCGACGGAAGAGTCGACTCAACCGCAAGAGATTTGTCGCAAAGACTGGCAATCATTAAATGCAAGGATTGGTTCTACCCGTTGGAGAGGGAGAAGACTCGGGTCTTCCGCTTCCGTCAGCAACGGCTGTGTTATCTCTTTC